GCCCTGCCTGCAGCCCTGCCGATGCCCCACGCCTCCCCGCTGAGGGCGCGGGCTAAACTCGGCTCAGCTGGGGTCAGTCGCCAGTTTGGAAACTGGGCCCAGGCTCCTTCAGGGGGAAGGGAAGAACCGGAGGCTCAAGACGTGACGGGCTCCAGCGTCATTCACCCCCGCCAGGATCATCTGCCCATCAAACCTGCCTGGGGATTTTGGAGCGAAAGGGCAGTTCTGCGAGAAAATAACCAGCGAAGGGAGCACTTTGGGTCCAGCCTTGAAAGCAGACTCAGCCTTAGCGTGAGCCCCTTCACCCAATACCGCGGAATTACAGACACAGGCTGGAGCAGACTAAAGAGCTTCCAAGGCCAAAATCTGGACTTGCTGAGAGGAAAAGCAAAATGCCCGTCCCCAGCGACGGGCCCACCCTTTCGGCCTCACGGAGCGCCTACCCCAGCCCCAGGCCGCTGTCACCCGCCCGAGCCCAAGGAAGGGCCTGGACCGCAGAGCTCAGCCCGGCCGTCACAAGCCGCATCGCTTCGGTCCCGCTGGTTGCTAAAGGGATTCAGTGAAACCGATGCAATTCCTGGGAGATAAATACTTCAGGGCTTGAAGGGCTCTCAGAGCTAAACTGCTGCTGAAATAAAGAGGGAGAAGCTTTTAGCTGTGCAGCCACATGGGGACTCGGGGGGTTTTGGTGCTCTTAACGGGCAGGAAAGCAGACACTGCTCTGTGTGTGTCTGGAGGCCTGCAAGGCTTTTATGTTAATGGCATTTTATGACCAAATGCTGGGATGGGAACCGACAGTGCACCAGCGGGGAGAGCCAGGCGCGTGCCCCGGCCGTCGCTCCCAGGCACATTCCCAACCAGCTGTGAAGGGGAAGAGTTTAACCACCGAGTGAGACCGGGGTATCAGAACAAATATTTGTCAGCGATCACTTACGACCATCTGTAAAAGACCACAGAATCCCAGAATCATCTGGGTTAGAAAAGACCTTGAAGATCACCCAGTCCAACCATTAACCTCACACTGACCGTTCCCAGCGAACTGGCTCCCAATTTATTTTTTAAGTAACTCTCAAGTGCGCTACATGCATAACGCAGGTCCTCAAAAGCTTGTGTGCTTGGCCAAAACTGTGGGGCGGTTAAAAACAAAAGCTTGGGGAGGGCAGTCAGCAATTCGCTCTTTCCACTGCTTTAAACCAGAGCGGTGCTGGTCCGGCACTGGTGGCTCCCGGCCGCACCCCCTGCGTCTGGGACCTCACTTTAAAGCGCCCCCCAAGGTGCTCGGGTGTTCGCAGGGCTCCAGAGACAGGAGCTCGGAGATCCACGCCAAAGCCACGAGGGCTCATCACAGAGCAGGGGCCGTGCCGGTGCCCCCTGCGGCCCCCGGCCCTGCACCCCCGGCCCCCCCTTACCTGCTGGGCGAGCCCAGGTCGGCCCGGCTGACGATGCGGTGCTGGTGGGGCGAGTACAGCCACTGGAAAGCCGTCAGCGTCCTCTCCTCGATCCGAAACCGGCCTTCTCGCACGTACCTAAAAATAACAGCGAGAAAGACTGAAATATTTATTAGCGCAGGATTGTGGAGGGGGAGCTGCGGGCCGCGGAGAGCAGAGCGGCTGGCTCAGCAGTCGCGACTCCAACACCACCTCCACCACCGCCTGCCCCGGGGGGGGAGCGGGAAAATGGCGTGATGGCCCCGACTGCATCCCTGCGCCAGCCCCGTCCTTCCCTGCCTGTCGGCGGACACTGTCACGGACACGGGGCCGGAGCTGGGATGGGGCCTCCTGCCAAGGGTGTCCGGGGGGGGGATGGTGGCCCCCGGCCACCCCTGCTCTCTGCCACTGCTGTGCCCATCACCCTGGGCACATCCTGCCTGCGACAGCTCCCGCCTGGCACCAGCCCCAGCACCGGCGGCAAGACCAGGCTAATGCCCTTCTAACATCACTCCGCATGTCAGGCCGGACGTTGAGGCTTGTGAAGTGATGCTCAAGTGATGAACCGATGGTCATTGTTTTGGTCGGAGAAGTTTGGGTTCTGTTACAGGAGCAAAATGTCGGTAACCGCAGCTGTTCCCATCTTCCAGAACACAGTTCTGCCGCTGCCTCCACCCCAACAGCCAGCTGCACTCCACACACCCTCCCCTGAACATCAAATTTCATCAGCAAGCGATTAATTATTTAAAGCCCCTGTAGCAGTGGTTGCAGACACGCACGCACACACGGCCCCGGCGCCCGTGGAACCCCGGCCGGGGCTGGGCCGAGCTCGCAGCCCCCTCCTCTGTGCGGGGGTGCAGCGGGGAGCGCGTTCCCACCGCCGGCCGCGGGGACCCACCACGCTGCCCAGCGGAGCGACAGCGCGGGGTCGGGATCTCCCGCTCTCGCCAAACCCAAAAACCTCCTCGAGTGTCCCCGTACGGGCCGAGCTGCCCGCGCTCGTGCTCCAAGCTCCGACACCGGTGGCGGCCGCAGCGCTGCCCTGCACCTCGGCCGGGGCAGCTGGAACGTCTGGAGAAGAAACGGGGGGGTGAGGCAGCGGGGGGGCACAACGGCCAAGCCAAGGAGCCACCGTGGCGGTTTGGGTCTGAAGGTGCAAGGAAAAAGTTCCCGAGGAGGAGGAGGAGGGAAAAAGGGGAGAAAAGCTCTGCAAGCTTGGAGTAACCCTGGATGGTTCCCACGCCGGCTGCTCCCCCGGGTCTGCAGGGATCCCCCCACTCGGGGAGCCCCCGCTGGGGGGGG